CAACGGGAGCCTGTTTTCCTCTAGCAGAGGTAACAGAAATACTTCTACAGGCCTGGAGGAATTTTTATGGGAATCTAGAGGTTCAAGGGTCTCAGGAAGATCCAAATATACATCCCTATCCTTGGTATCAGGGTATTACTCCTTCTGCTTTAGTGCCCTAATTTAGCAGAGAAGATATGCAAGGGCTGCGCACTTGACATCATTTTAACTCCACTGCTCTTATAATTAAATCCTGGCCTTAATGTCAGCACAGTTTGCCTTCTTGCTACAGGAAATGAGGGTCTGTTTAAATGCTGCCGTGGAGGAACTCTGGTTTTCACAGCATGTCCTGAGGTTACGGTTGGCCAAATATCCAACTCTAAAATGCTTCCAATAAGTGTTTCCCCCATACAGTTCAAATTCTAGAACTAATGCATAAATTTGTGCTTCCCTTTCTATCTGTAGCTTATCCCGTTTCACGACATCTCTTTCCAGTGTTACCAGCATAGCGCTTAACACCAGCAAAACAGTCCTTGTTGTCAACTAACTGACAGTTAACCACTTACTATACCAATAGTTTTAGATTTGCTTCCCCAAAGAAGATCCTGAGGCAAGGACTGAAATGGCATGCTTTATTTGGAAGATAGTCCCAAGAAACAAAAGTGAGAAAGTGGGGAAATGAGACAAGGAAGGTAGGAAAGCCACCCACGGTGGCAGTAATGAGCAGGTTTATGCTCACTTCCCCCAGGGGGAATCTCTTGAGAAGCTGCGTGGAACATCCAGAATCATCCCCGTTGAGTATGTGAGGCTGCAAAATTTACCAACCCCCATGCCCCATTGTTTTAGGGGTACCCTCAGAAACTTTCATTTCCGTACCCCTGGTACCTGTCTGTGAGCAGTCAAGCAAGCCCAGAAAGCCTCAGGCGGAGAGAGATGCCCAAACCTGGGACATGTAAAGATGCCAGCACACTGCCAAGCCTTCTTGCTTCACAGCTGCAAGTCAACCTGAGTGGGTCAATGGGCTGTAGGGGGACACTGACAGTGTGTGATACACATCTTGATGCAATCTTGAGAATGAATCAGAGTTTCCATTCCAAAAAGACAATCAATGGAACCACTCTATTCCTCTTAATTGGGGACCTGAGGAACTTGCCTTATTGCTTATAAATTTGTTCAAAGCACAGAGCAATTTCAGAGAATCATGCTTTCTCCAAATCCTTATTAATTTCAGGAAAAAATATTTCTCATTGGAAGGTGTTTAGCAGGATTCTTTAAGATTATGAGATCATATATGTTCGCCATGGGCATCCACATTCACATGGTGTAAGAGTTGCTGACTTACTTTCACTAGGAGGATGAAGCCAACCAAACTGAGATAGACTGAAATATCTAATTATGGCGAGAAATTATGGGTTTTCCTAAATTATTTTTCTTTATGAGAGAAAGCATATCCATCATAAAGTAGAATTATAGTTTTTAAAGGGCTGATATTAAGACCTTGGAAAAGCATAGGTAGCTCCAAAAGACAATTTAAATACCAACTTGCTATGGATGGGCAGAATTTTCCACCAGAAAAAACAGTGAAATTGTATTTCAACAGATGAGTAGAAGCTGTATGGAGGAATGTGGCAAAATCATCTTCACTTTGCATATTATAAAGCTGTCAATTTCCTTTGCATCTAGATGGGGTCATATGAGTACTCATGAGCTGCCACACATACCAAGTCCTGTGTGTGACTGCTGGCCAAAGAAAGTCACAAAGCCTGGAGAAATAGGCCTCATCTTGATCAGAGGAGCTACAAAGTCTCATTGTAAAGAAGCACACTGACAGGGAGGCATAGATAATTGTACACATTTTGGCAATCTACTCCAAGTCTAGATTTTTCTCCTTCTCTCCCCAGAAACAACTACCCATGAGCATTCAAACTTTTCTCAATTGTCCATAATTAAGTGCTATCTAACTTGCATATCTTCCTCCAGAACAGCAAGTCTATTTTCTTGATAAAGCTGTTCGAGAACTGTCAATAGTCACTTGAGAAAGCTCATCCTTAACTCCATGGGCTCATCAAATATTTTTCTGAAAAATGTAGATCTGTTCAGAAAAAGGCAGGGAGTAGGTTTAGATTGTGTGGCAATACGTATTACATATTTTTCCATATTCTATTGAGCGAAAATATCTAATTCTGCCATATTTTTCCTCCTGAAAGGATGGAACAATATAAAACCCAACTGAACCACTTCCGGCTCATGTTTCTGGATCTCTGATTGTTGCTTCATTCCTCGTTTACGTTAGATGTGATTCATGTTTATCTTGCCTTTGGCATATTGCTTCTGGGACAAATGAGTGTGTTTAGAATATGTCTAAATTTCGTTACTCAAGAGAAGTAATTTTTTCCTACCTTTGTCAGTGTCAGGGAAATATAATGTAAAATAAAATCTCCCAACCCAGAAAATCTCTCCACAAAGGTAGAAGAAAAAGAAAATTTCATTATTGAATAAGCGATAAGCCAGAATGTGATGTGTGTCACAGGCAATCCACCAAGAGATTGCAAAGACAGAAAGAAATCTCACCCTTTTATATGGCCAAGCAGATACAACTCATTATGTACATACGTGTTTTCCAGATAAACAATAACTAGTCCTCAAGCTAGAGGACTTGACAGCACCAATTATTACACATAGTCCATCCTAAATTCACCTGGTAATTCGGGTGACCATCTGTGTTAGTTCATTGGCTTTATACAAAGGAAAAATAAACTTCTCCTATATTTATGACAGGAGATAGCTTTACACCTGGGAGCAAGGTACCTACCAAAGTGAGGCTCCTACACTCCCACAGAAACTGGGAGACAGTACTGTATCCCCTGATGTTTACATTTCAAAGAAATGGCTCCCATGTCCTTGAGAAAGGCATTAAGCTGGCAAGAGGCTTATTTAGCTTCCAAAAAGATTTATATGCGTCTCAAAGAGACAGAGAAAAAACTTACAATCACAAAATTTCTAAAGTAAAATATTCTAAGAAAAGGGAAGGGAAGGAAATCTCTTATATCCAACAGGGAAAATTAAGCTTCATTTTCATTTGAATTTGCCCTTACGTCAAGCAGGGGCTCTTCTGTATTAGCCATGGTTGTTAGTAACCATGACGTTCGAAGTACCTTTAATTCTCATCAACTTAGAATTTATTCATCCAATCCTTCATTCATCAGATTATAATTAAATCTTATGTTTCCAGAAACAAGCCTGGACTATGTTGATTCAGAAGTTGAGTCAGGCTTCTGACCATGTTGAGTCAGAGACACAGATTCCTTTCATCAAAGAAATTATATTCCGTAGAGAGAGACAGACAATAAACAGATAAATAAATAAATTTACTTAATAATTTATTTATACTTTAATCACAGATGCTGTTAAGGACAAATAAAATAGCATAAAGGGCCGAGCTTGATGGGAAGTATTATGTTAGGGAAAACTTTATGTGGAGACAGTATTTGAGCTGAGATGTGAAGGAAGTGATGGGGGACTACAGGAGAAGATGAGAGTCACAAGCAAAGAGAAATCTAGAAGAACTTTGAGATTTTTGGCCTGAGCAAGAAAACAAATATAAGCAACATTTACTATGCATGAGAACACAGGAAAAATGTACATTTGTGAAACCAGAAAGAATTCTGTGTTAAACATGTGAAATCTGAAATGCCTTTTAAATAGCAAAATACGGATGTTAAGAAGACAACAGTTTACATAGTTTTAAACTCACATTAAGTGTCAGAGAATGATATATAAATACGGGACTCATCAGTATATGGAAGTCATTTAAACCAGGAATCCAGACTTCCTCTTCTGGCTACCATGGGTGGTTTGTGGAAGACACATGCTTCCATGAAAAACAGATTAAAAGGGAAATAAGACTTTTTTTAAAAATCTATATGACATTATCAGAGAGCTGCCTAGACAACTAGGATTTGAGTGGGCAGGTGCCCAAAGGAAGTGAACCTGAAAAGGGAGGCAAAATTCTTTCTCCGACTTTTGCCTATTGGCATTGGGCTATTAATAGCATGAGGGAGCCTAAAACTCCGGCACAAGGAGGTCTGGGCGGAGTTGCAGCTAAGAGGCAGAGAAGTGAGCAAAATGAAGTGGCAAAACTAAAATTTGTGGATGGCCAAGAAGCCAGGATTCAGGTGGCCAATATTCCTGGGAATGGAGACAGAAGGAGGAGACCCCAGCATATGATTTAGTTACTCCTTCTCCTTGAGGCACTTGACAAATTCTTGGACTGCATTGAGTCCAGAAATAAGAAGGTGGGCAGAAAGCCTCCAAAATATCCCGCAGTCTCTCAGGGCTAAAGAAGAAAACATCAAATTTCAAGACCCAACAGAATAGAAGACCCTTAGTAAAACTCACTACACTTTTGGTTGGGACATCTCAAGGTGCACACCAGAGGTCACATCCAGGTGATCCAGAAGTAGATGCAACCTTAATATACTGCAGATCTGCCTCCTGTCATCTCAGTCCCTTTATCTGATTCAGATAATCTTCCCCCACTCCATGAAGAAGTGAATACATTAATCACTTAAGTAGATCAATGGAACATAATAGTGTATCCAGAAACAGACCAACATACATTACAATCACCTGATTTTCAACAAAGATTTCAGAGAAAGGTAAATGAGAAAGAATGACTTTTTCAAAATGTGGTGCTGTCAGATGGAAATCCATACAGAAAAACTCACAGTGAATCACAGATTTAAATATGAAAGGTCAAAAAATAAAGATTCAGGCAACTAGTGACTGAAAATGTAAATGTAACTGAAAACAGAAGTGGAGTCCGTTAAAGAAGAAATTGATGAGTTGGACTTAATTAAGGTAAGAACTTCTGTTTATCAAAAGTCAGCACCAAGTGGGGCCAGCCTGGTGGCTTAGCGTTTAAGTTCGCATGCTCCGCTTCAGTGGCCCGGGGTTCACTGATTCAGATCCCGGGCATGGACATATGCACCATTCATCAAGCCATGCTGTGGCAGGTGTTCCACATGTAAGATAGAGGAAGATGAGCACGGATGTTAGCTCAGGGCCAACCTTCCTCAAAAAAAAACATTCAGACCCTGTTTCTCCCTTTTTCCAAAGTCTTCCTATTCCTCCTAGAATAAAAATTTTAAACAAAAAGGAAACTTAAATAACAGAAGTTCTACCACTCACTTTATTCCTGGTACCTCTTTTAAGACTCAGAGCAGTTATTTGATGGAGAGATTTTTATCGACATTTTATATCTATGGAAACTGAGATTAAAGAAAAAACTAATTGGTCAATATCTCTCAAATGGCCAGTCTGCAATGGAAACCCATGTTTGGATGACTCTGAAAAACAATTTCCACCCTCTTCTCCATAATTGTTACCCAAACTCTACTAAGAGGGTGTGGGAAAACTTAAAATTATCTTTTCAGAATTCTCTTTATTCAATGGGCTCATCCCTCAACTATCCGGTGGACAAGTATTGTCTGTGTTTTCTTCTAGAAATCTTAGGACCTATGGCTTATCTCTCAGGAAGTGGCCACATAACGGATGGACAAGAGAAGTCAGTTGTTTGTACCGTGTCTTCAAATTACATGCTTTATGCCTGGGATGTGCAGGAGGTGAGTCTGACTAATGTGGAGCACAAGTAACGTGTACTTGTGTGCATCCTGTTACTCATATGAATCAAGTGCCAGAGGGAGGAAAATGATACTGGGAATTGGTAACAGAAACAAAGTTTCAAATCAGGTCTTCTAATTGGCAATCTATGACCTTTTCATTTAGACTATAGACGCACAGAGAATTCACTTTTTAATACGTGTTTCTATATATAAACTTCTGCCAGGTCTTATTTTCTATTGGTAATGTAGAGTGACTTTGTGAAATAAACAATCTTTTGGCATCATACGTCTTCATTACCTATTTTACTGCCTGTCTGTCAACTATTGGCATTCATTATATTGGCTTTTTCAGAAATTGGTCTCTAACTCAGATCACTTCCAAGGGGCACAAAGATCTTACATATGAGGACCAGCCAATGTTGTACAAGAATCACTGCATAGGGAGTTGAGTTTTGGGAAGATCCCAAAGTGGGTCCCAAATTATTGTATTTTCTTGGCTTTCCTTGTTTGGATGTCTCTCTCCTCCTAGTAAAAATTAGATGATGACTCTTTCTAACACAGGGTCTTCTAAAATATGATAAATACCCTTTTACGAATATATGAGGTGGCAAGGAAATCATGAGATAAAAGTCTAGAAGGGTGCTCTTAAACTTTTGCAGTGTTATATGTCAGTTACAGCTCACTAAAGCTGGGGGGAGGGAAAATAAATTAGAAGGGTACTCTCTTGGCTAACTTGCTCTAGGGGAACCAGTCACCACGTTCCTGAGGACATTCAAGCAGCCCAATGGACAGGTCCACATGGCAAAGAACTCAGGACTCCTGCCAACAGCCAACACCAACCTGCAGTCGTGTGAGTGAGCCATCTTGGAAGTGGATCCTCCAACCGCAGACAAGACTTCAGATTATTGCATCCCCAGTCAACATCTTGCTGCAATCTAATGAGAGACCCTAAACCAGAGCCACTCAGTTAATCCACTTTTGAATTTTTGACCAATAGAAGCTGTGTGAAATAAGTGTTTTTGCTTTAAGTTGCTGTATGCTTTGCTATGCAACAATAAATAACAAATATAATTTTTAGTACCTGGAAGTGGGGTGCTGCCTTAACGAAAACCTAAAATGTGGGAGAAGCTTTGGAAACAGACAGTGGGCAGAAGCTGGAAAGACTCTGAGGAGAGTGTTGGACCTTGAGAGACTGTTAGCAAAAATCTAATGGCCTGCCATGAAGCTGCCTGTATCATATGGTCAGTAAACCATACGATAGAGTTGAAGCCAAAGAGGAGGCTGCAAAATTCCTTGTTAGACCAAGAAAGATCTAAGGAGGTGACTCAGAGAACTATTCAGTCAAGAAATAGGACTTTTTTAAAGTTTAAGGCATTGTCCTTGGCAGCCCCAGCAGAAGCCCAAAGTATCAAAAGACTTATCTCAAAGTTTTATTCCTTGGGATCATCCCAACAACTGTGTGAGGGAGGCTGGTCAGAGGTTTTAATCTCGATTATGTGATTGTAGAAATGGCGGCATATCTTACAGTTGACTGTGCTGCCTCTCGTGTGCTTTAGGATTTCATGTCTCTTTCCATTGACGTGGTGGTAATGCTTTGGTTTCAGGTAGGTGATTCTGAAGGTGACATCTACACATTAACAGTCCCTGGGTTAAGGAATTTCTCAATTTAATGCATTCAAATATAATGTTGATGTTCTACACTACTCCCCTGCCGAAAAATGGATCTTTGAATCTACACATCAACATCACTTGCCAAAGGTAGGTGCTGCTCTGTGTGCTTCAGCATCGGGAGGAGAGGGTCAAGCATTGGGAAGGTGAAGGGAGGAAGTGTTACAGACACTGCAGAGCTCGGTGAGGACCAGACACTGCTCCCTCATCTCAAAGGCCATATCACATGTGGAATCTATTCCTATAGCCAAGAAACGATGTTCTTTGAAGCAATGATATCCAGTTACAAAGACAAATGTTTATTAATGAACATTCGCTCATGAAGCCTTAATCAGCCAAAGAGATAGAGAAGGGTGAAAGAGATATCAAGAAATGAGGATCTTTAGTAACCTCGTTCACTTTTGCTTTCCTTACTTTAATCTACCTTGGCTGGAAAATACAAAGAAGTCCAGAAGCAAATAAAATTGAATCAGCCTCTGAAGGTCACTCTGAAAAAGTCTGGCCTTTGAGCAGGCCATTTTAGCATGGCGCCTGTGGACTGGGCACCAGAGAGCAAGGAGCCAGAAGAGAAGGCAGCAAAGGCATATCAGCCCTTGACTAGTTCTCCAGGAAGGGAAAGTCCATTCAGCCAGCTGCAACTTGATCAGGGGTCCAATGCAGTCAGATGATTTGGTGACCCCATGGCATGCCAGAAGAGAAGCTTCGGGGACTCTGCTCTTTTTGCGACCATGACAGGCAGGATAGGAAGACAGTGAGTTCCTGATATGTCGAGTGACAAGCAGTGACTACTGAACACTTCCTAAGATTCAGAATAAAGCTTTTGCCACAAGATGAAAAATTTTAAGGAGGCTTTTCTGGAGTCACTCTTGTCCTGAGATGCTATAACTTCCCCCTTCACCTGACTCCACATCCAATGATCTCTCCATAGGTATTTTCTACTGCATGCTGACTGTGACTGTCAGAAGGCAAACCCCTCCGTCTCTCTCCCATTCATCGTGCTGCAGAGCCTGCTGGGCCCCAAGGAGGACGAACAGGATAACACTGATGTTCCAAAGAGGCTCTTCCCAAAAGACAGGATTTACCACCTTTTTTTATTAAGATTGGCACCTGAGCTAACAACTGTTGCCAATCTTCTTCTTTTTTTTTTTTCTGCTTTTTCTCCCCAAGTCCCCCCAGTACATAGTTGTATATTTTGGTTGTGGGTCCTTCTAGTTGTGGCATGTGGGATGCCACCTCAACATGGCTTGATGAGCGGCGTCATGTCCACACCCAGGATCCGAACCGGGGAAACCCTGGGCCACTGAAGCAGAGCGCACAAACTTAACCACTCAGCCATGGGACTGGCCCCAGGATTTACCACCTTTGATCTAACAACTAAGAGAACTGAGGACAGAACAGTCATCCAAGGTAGCTATGCCACCTAGAAACACTTCTCTCCTCTCTGTCACACATGCATTCAGTTTAAGCTATCAGTGTATGTAAATAGGTCTATCTGTGTAAAGCAGGCAGGGGATTTCTTTAGCTGGAGGCTAACCCATGCCTGTTTGACCCTTATGTCCACACATGTGACCTCTACACTCCACCCTGCTCTCTTGGGCAGACATATTAGATTCCCATCATGCTTTAGGGCCTAGATTCCAATACCCCTTCCTTCAATGCCTATGCTATTATTTATTGCCCAGAGTTGTGGGCAATAGCTATGTCATAGCACCCATTACCATGGTCAATGACATGTGTTTGGCAGGCCACTGGCCTACCCTTCATTTTCTTCACTGGACAGAAGGAAGTCCCATGGAAGGAGGGAGTATGTTTTTTCATTCAGTGTCAGAATATTGTTCTGAGTAAATGATCCAAAGTTTGCCCTCACATGTGTACATATGTATTTTGCATGAAAATAGCCCTTCATATCACAAGTTTCCTGTTGCTGGTTGATATGCAGAGTCCTATTTGCATGGCAGTCAGTGATGGAAATAGGACTGTCTTTGAGAGTGGGCCATACATGTTCCTTTTCACCATCAATGGCCCCCTGCTGCAACAATGAGGAGCACCAGAGGACCACCAGCCACTTCTGGGTGGTATGTATGATCCTTCTCCTCTCACTGCGCATTGCTCTGACTTTGACTCTGGCCACTCATCCCTGGGTGTCCTTTGGAGGAGTCTCTCCATGTCCTCACCACATCCGTGGATGATTCTGCAAGTGTGCGTGTGGGAAGAGGAAGGCCGTTAGCCATACCTCAGGAGCTGCTGTCACCTGGAGCACATAGGGAGGGGTCAAATACCACGCTGCTAGACCCTGCTTAGTGACTGAAACTTTCCCTAATCTTAAATTTCTACATAAAAAAATAATGAAGGGATAATAGGGGTTTTTTTACAGATTCTTTGAGAATATATGTGAATAAACTTATGCCCAAAAAGAGAATTGCTAGTTCTTGGAGTATGTCCACAGCCCTTGCAATAGATTTCAAAAGGCTTTGTAAAATGGCTCTCAATTTATATTCCCACAAGTAGTATATGGAAGATTTATATCCTCGATATCCTGTTATTACTTGCAAAGTTTATCCCTTTTTTGAGTTCGTTAGTCATTTAAGTTGTTTCTTTAGTGAGCTGCCTTTATCTCCATCTTACTTATTTTTCATCTAGGTTGCTTGCCTTCATCTAAATTGTGTTTCTGGAGATTTTTACATATTGTACATAGAGGTCTTATCTTTTATATTTTTTTCAAATATTTTCTTCCAGATTGTTGCTTGTCCTTATAATGTTTATTTTTGGCAATATCTAACAAAATACATATACGTATATCCTTCAAACTGCAAATGCCACTGAAAGGAATTTATTCTGATAGTATACTTGCAATGATTAAAAATACATCGGTTGTTTATTGCAGCATTAGTTGTGATTACCAAATGTTGGAAGCTGCCTAACTGCCCAAACGTAAGACATTGTTTAAATTACTATGGTGTAGCCACATAACGGAGTATTGTGCAACTGTAATTTGAAAAAAAAAAAAAAAGAATGGAAGAAATGTCTATGTTGAGATAAGAAGTTCTTTCCAGCGTTTTTAAGGCAAAAAAAAAATATTTTAAATATATATAATTAATATATAATTATGCTTACCAGATTTTCTTCCTTCCTTCCTTCCTCCCTCCCTCCCTTGCTCTCTCTCTTTCTTTCTTTCTTTCTTTCTTGTGAGGAAGATTGGTCCTGAGCTAACATCTGTACCAGTCTTCCTCTATTTTGTACGTGGGACGCTGCCACAGCATGGCTTGATGAACGGTGTGTAGGTCCACACCCAGGATCCAAACCCACGAACCACAGGCCACTGAAGTGGAGCATGCAAACTTAACCACTATGCCACTGGGGCCAGCCCCTTCTTTCATATTTTTTGCTCCCTGTATCATATCTAATAAGTCTTAGCCTACTATAAATCAGATAAATCAGATAAGTCATACCATAAATCATTATAAATCATAAATACTTATTTTCTTTCAATAATTTTAAATACTTCCCCTTTGTATCAGGTGTTCCATACTGCATAGCTTTATGTCACTTATCCATCTGAATTGTTTTTAGAAGGCAGGGAAACTTTATGTCTTTCCCAAATAGTATCCAGTTGTCCAACACACTGTTTGAGTTTTGACAAAAATATAAAGTCCTGTGATCAGAAGCACAATCAAACCACAGAATATTTCCATCACTCCCAGTCTTCTCGTGCTCCATTGCAGTCTGTCCCTCCTTCCATCCCCAGCACCAGGCAACAACTGATCTGCTTTCTGTGCCTGTAAATTAGTTTGTATTTCCTAAAATTTTATGTAAATAGAATTATATAAGGTAGATTCCTTTGTGTCTGGCTTCTTTCAATAAGCGTGGTGTTCTTGAGACTCCCTCATGTTGAGTGTATCAGTAATCCCCTCCTCTCTGTTGCTGAGCAGTGCCCCGCCGCATAGATGGACCACAGTTCATCGCTTCACCAGTCGAGGGCCATTTATATTTTTTCCAGTTTGGGATGATTATGAATAAAACTGCTGTAAACATTTGTCAACAGGTTTTTGTGTATTTACCTAAGAGTGAACTGTTGAGTTATTTGGTATGTTTGACTTTATAAGAAACTGCAAAACTCTTCCCTAGGGAGCGCTACATTTTTCAATTCCCACCGGCAATGTATGAGAATTCCAATTACTCCACTTTGCATTGGTCAGTTTTTGTTTTTTTACGTTCTAATAGGTGTGTAGCAATATCTCATTGTAGTTGTATTATATATTTCCCCAATGATGTTGAGCAACTTTTCATTTTGTTTATTTGCCATCCGGATATCTCCTTTGGTGAAGCATTCATTCAAACCTTTTGCCCGTTTTTTAATTGAGTTATTTTCTTAGTACTGAGTTTTGATAGTTCTTTATATTTTTGGAATAAAGTCTTTTAGCAGATAAGGATTTGCAAATCCACTCTATGGTTTGTCTTTCTACTCTCTCAACAGTATCTTTCAAAGAGCAGGTGTTCTTAATTTTTTTCTCTTCTTCTCCCCAAAACCCCCCCAGTACATAGTTGTATATTCTAGTTGTGAGTGCCTCTGTTTGTGCTGTGTGGGATGCCACCTCAGCGTGGCCCGACGAGTGGTGCCATGTCCATGCCCAGGATCTGAACCCGTGAAACCCTGGGCCGCCAAAGCGGAGCACACAAACTTAAGTACTCAGCCATAGGGCCAGCCCCAGGTGTTCTTAATTTTGATGAAGTCCAATTTTTCTTCTAAAATGTTTGGGCTCTGGATGTTGTACCTAAGAAATTCTTGCCTAACCCAAGGTCACAAAGATTTTCTCCTATGTGTTCCTCTAAAAATTTTATAGTTTTAGGTTTTACAGTTAGGTCTATGATCCATTTCAAATTAAATTTTATATAGGGGAAGATATAGATCAAGATTTCTTTCTTCTTTGTCTGCATATGGGTATTCAATTATTCAGCATCATTTGTTGAAAAAAAACTATTCTTTCTCCATTGAATTGTCTTTATACCTTTTTCAAAAATTGGCCATATATGTATGGGTTAATTTCAAAACTTTCTCTCTTATTCCAAGGATCTATATGTCTATTCTTTCTCTATTATTAGAGAAAGTTACTCTACCTTGAAAGTGTAACTTTATAGAAACTCTTAAATTAGATCATGTGAGTCCACTAAACTGTTCCTTTGCAAAATTATTTTAGCTATTCTGGTTTCCTTATTTCCAAATAAATTTTGGAATCAGCTTGTAAATTTATACAAAAATTCTGTTGGGATTTATACTGGAATTCTATTAGATCTGTAGATAAATTTGGGGAAAATTGACACCTTGACTCTGTTGAGTCTTCTAATCCATAAACTTACATGTCTCTCAATTTATTTAGATCTTCTTTGATTTCTTTCAACAATGTGTTTGTAGTTTTTAGGATACAGATTTTGCACATATTTTGTAAGATTATACCTAAGTATTTAGTGGTTTTGGTGCTATTATAAACAGTAGTGTCTTATTTATTTCAGTTCTTCATTAGTATTATGTGGAAACATGATTGACTTTTGTATATTGACCTTGTATGCTGCAGCCTTGCTAAAGTAACTTATTCAAATAGATTTTATTAACGGGTTTGTAGATATTTTGTGATTTTTCTATGTACAAAATCATGATATCTGTTAGTAGAGACAATTTTATGCCTTTATTTCCAATCTGTATGTCTTTACTCCTTGCTCTTGCCTTATTGCAGTGGATATAACCTTCAGTACAACATTGGAGTGGAGAGTAGACATCCTTGCCTTACATGGGAAGTGTTGAGTCTTTCACTGTTATGATATTCACCATATGTTTTTGTAGATACCCTTTATTAGGTTGAGGAAATTCCCTTCTAGTCTTACTTTGCTGAGCGTTTTTATCATGAATAGATGTTTGATCTTGTCAAACACTTTTCCTGCAACAATTAATAAAAGCATGTGATTTTTCTTCTTTAGATTGTTAGGCAAATTACATTGATTGATTTCTGAATATTGAA